AACCCCCCCCCCCACCCCCAAGAATGAAATAATTGTAAGTTTTTAAGTCATACCGTTCTCTTCCTCCCTTTCCATTACAACCCCTTGCAATCATGTTTAATTCAAAGGAATTCCCATATTTATACAAATTCACTCTCACCATTGCTGAAAGCAAGTAATCCTCTGAACACTATGCCTTTCTAGCGGAACAGGTTATTGGAATTTGAACTCTAGAAACCAAGTGCTTTCACTAAGGCATGGCCTGAGAGCACTTAATCTTCTTGCGGGTTTTGAGGGTGTATTTGCTTTTCTAATAGAAAAAATGATTTTTAAGGAACTCTGTTTTCAATGATAATGTGACTGTGTTGCACAATGAGAAAAATAAGGTAAGAAAAAGAAAAGGGAATTAACACTTTTGAATTCCTGATTTGACAAAGAAAGTAGTGGGTAAATTACCAGCTTTACAGAAATCATCCAGAAATAGTCTTAGCAGGCCAGGGAAACAGAAATTACTCCCTTTCATTCCTAACTAACATAGCTTGAAACGAGGGAGTAAGCTGACCGGCTGTCACTGAACACAGTGCACTAAAGACTAAACTCTACGCTCCGCACCAGTTCCCAACCTGTATTAGGGACTCCCCTTCTCTTCTCTCCACTCTAAACCACAGCTTCAGCCTAGCCATACTTTAAAGACTTCTTATCTGACAACGGGACCATTCCAAATTTCTCAGTGTCAACGGAGTAGGCAACTTGGATCAATTCTGTCTTTTTAAACTGATGGGGGCAGAAAATGGGGAAAAAAACCCCTCATCTTGGATTCAAGAAAATAAAGGTACATGTTATTAGCAAAACTCTCCATGCAGCCGATTTTGGTACCACAGGTTAGGACAATGCATATCCAAATTATTATTATTATTTTTTTTTTTTGGTAAAGCCTATTTCTTTTTTTTAGTATCTAAATAATTTATTTTTCTATCACATAAAGAATACATTGGCTTTGATTTCTTTTAGATTTTTTATGAACTGCAGTACACACAACCAATAACTTATAAGGAATCTGCTTTTATATGCCCTACACCAGGGGTCGGCAACCCCCGGCACGTGTGCCAAGCATGGCATGCAAGGCCATTTTGCTTGGCACGCCATGTCCAGCCCCAGCTCTCGGTAGCTGCTGCCAGCAGCAGAGCCCA